TCTTCGTTTAATTGTTGGATCCTTTCTTTTGCTTTGCTCAATGCCCTTTCGTTTTCCGCAAGAATGGAATCATAATCTTGCATTTTTTCAAAGAGATTGGCGATGGTTTTTTGATCCTTCCAGCTCCTCTTTGGCGTTTCAGAAACTCTTTTCATTTTTTGGAATCGAGCATGAAGATTTTCATTCTCACAAGCTAGACTCTTTTTCTCGCCTTCGGCTTCTCGTGCTTGCAAATCTTTCTCCAAACTGAGGCTTCTTAGATTTTCTTTTAGGGCATGAATAGTTGCTTTGTACCCCTTTTCCTTTTCTCCCCAGATCAATCGTTCTTGGATTTTATCATTGAAGTTTTGAACATGGGGTCTTTTTGTTGGCCTTCTTAGCTTAGGCTCTGGTACATCATCCACGCGAGACCATTTTTCAAACCACCTGGATTTATCATTGAGCAATTTGGAGGGAAACCTGTTTATAAGATATGTGGCAGTCAAAACACAATTACCCCAAAATCTGATTGGTAACTTGGACTGAAACAATAAAGCTCGAGAAGTTTCCAGCAAATACCTATGCTTCCTCTCCACCACACCATTCTGTTGTGGTGTGTGAGGGCATGAAGTCAGATGAATAATACCATTATCAAGAAAGAATTGACTGCAGAATTACTGGATCCTAATTCAAAAGCATTATCACTTCTTACTGACTGAATTGTTATATGAAATTGTGTTTGTACCATGGCTATAAAAGCTTTTAATAAAGGAAAAACATTGCTCTTAGAACCCATGAGATGAGTCCAAGTAGCTCTTGTAAATCATCAACAATGGTGAAGAAGTATTTGCAACCATTATAAGTAGGGCTGCTATAGGGTCCCCAGGTGTCCACATGGACAAGTTGGAAAGAAGAAGATGTTTTAATGCAACTATCTGGAAAAGGAAGCCTAGGTTGTCTAGCTAAAGAACAAATAGAACAAACAAAAGGTTGTTTATTAGAGAATTTGCAAGGAAAAACAGAAATGTCTTTCATTCTACTAAAAGGCATATGCCCTAATTGATTGTGCCATAAAATCTCCATTTTATTGACATCAGATTGGTATGTACAATGGGATACAGGAAACAATGGAGAATGGTATTTACAACTGGAAACGGAATCAGAATCACAAGTGGAAGTAAGTACAGTAGAGACAGTAGAAGAACCATCTACCAGAAGCTTGTAAAGACCATGATCCACTTTACCAACTTCCACTGGCCTCTTCAGTGAAGGGCCCTAGAGAAGACAAGAAAACTTGCTGAATAGAAGATCACAATCCAAATATGAGACACGTTTATAAACAAAAATAAGATTGTAGTGAAAACTAGGAACATAGAGAACATGATTCAAGGTGAAAGATAAGAAGTGCAGGGAGCCAGTACAAGTGACTTTGGCCTTGTAGCCATTAGGAAGGGTAACTAGATAAGGAATAACAAGAGGCTTAATGTCAAAAAAAAGGTCTCTATTAGAAAGTCATGTGATCTGTGGCTCCAGAATCTATAATCCAAATGCAGTCATTAACTCTAGTTAGCATGCATGCACCATAACTAACACCTACACATGCAGGGGAAGGAACCATACCAGCAAAATTGGCAGAACCCATAAGACCGTATTGAGTAGGTGAATCAGAAACATGATTCTGCTGCAACAAGTGTAGCAATTGAGTGTATTGTTCTTTAGTTAGCCCAAGGACCAATGAACCAGAGTCAGGAGGACACTCAGATGGAAGATTAGTTGAATCAGAATTTACACCAAGGTTCTGAACTTCAACATTCCTAGCAATTCTCTTCCCTTTGGTGAACTTAAAATTGGGTGAAAAACCATGAAGTTTATAGCACTTCTCAATGAGATGCCCAGGTTTTTTGCAATATTTGCACACCAAATTGGACTTTCTCTGATCAAAATTGACTCTTCGAATATATTATTTTGGAGTAATAGGAAGTTGATTGGCTGTTGAATGTTTGTTAACAGAATTGTGAAAGTTGACATTAAAAAAGGCTGATTCATTGTTGAACTGAGGACTAGGACTGACTTGTCTTTGTCTTTCATCTTGGAGAAGAATATTGTAAGCATTATCTAGAGAAGGTAGAGGCTGCATCATGAGCAAATTACTCCGGACACTAACATAAGCGTCGTTCAACCCCATGAGAAATTGATAGAGTTTGTTCTCCTCTTCCTCCTCAGACCTACCCCCACAATTACATCTATTGGCATACTTAGAGTGCAAGAAAGCCAACTCGTCCCAAAGTTTCTTCAACTTATTGAAATATGAAGCAATGTCTAATGAACCCTGATTAGTGAAAGCCAATTCTTTTTTAATTCAAATACTTTGGTCCCATCAACCGACCCATACCTCTTATTAAGATGGTTCCAAATATTCTGAGCAGTTTCTGAGCATTGGACGCTCTCAGCAATGTCAGGGGATAAGGAACTAGTCATCCACGAAATGACCATGTTATTACACCTATCCCACAGTTTAATTTGAGGAGAGTCATCAACAGGTCTAGGGCATGACCCATCTATAAAGGCAATTTTGTTTCTGGTTGATAAGGAGACGATCATACTCCTTCGCCAACCCCCAAAATCAGTCCCAGAAAAAGGGTTAGAAACAAGAGAGATCCCATGGACATCAGAAGATGAAAGATGAAGAGGATTTAAGGGATCTGAGACATAAGTGCTAGAGCTGCTAGAGCTAACAGAGGTATCCACAACAACCATGATGTAGAAGCACAAGTAATCACAGCATCAAGAAAAAACACCACAAAAATCAGGCATGTAAGGACAAAAGAAGTGGAGAACACAATACCAAAGGTTCTTCGCGACTGGAAGAACTACAGCCTTCAAAATCGCAAACAGAGAAAGACTGAAGAAACCAGTATCAATTGTCACAAACCCTAGCTCACGAAAAAGAACTCAAAACCAGCATTTAGTGAAAAAGACTTCAAACAGGCCATGAACATTGTAGAAGGTTAATTCGGAGTAAAGCCAATAGCAAACCAAAGAGTCCTTGGCAGAAAAACGAGAAATTGATGAAAGCAACCAAAAAACCGACGAAATTCTGGAGAACCCATGAAACTTGAACAAAAATGAACAAGGCTAAGATCGGACGAACCGGCAGCGTGAAATGAAACAGAATCATCGCTCTGATACCATGTTAATGTGTGAAACAAGATTGGCTTGAATCAATTTGTATCTAGAGCTTGTATTGGAATGAACGAAGAGAGAACTCTTTTCTTATTGTATCAGAAAATAGAATGAATAGTTCTGCTGTTTCTAGAAACCTCTACTACTTATATATATGACCCGGAAATTACTACTTTGGGCTTAAGTCCAATCCAGACTACATACATAAATAAATGTACAATATAGCCATAATATTAAGTTGGGCCTTCTTCAATTTGGGTCTGGCGTGTAGTAACTCCAACAACTTAAGGCTCAAACTTGAAATCTTTAATTAAGATTGGCATAGTCCTAACTTCTAGCTAGTTACACAGTCGTAGTCGTAGTAATGTTGTGTTGATGCTAGAGAACCTGCTATAAAACGAACCTAAGGTCAACTTAATTTGAGCAAAGTACAAGTCATGTAAAATAGTACGATTACTTAACCAAGTCATTAAACAACAGGCCTCCACGTGTCACCACAAACTGAATGGCCCACCGACAACCTAGGTGTGACTACATTGTACGGTCNCCCCCAAAACCAAATCCAAAATTCTTCATATTATACCTCCTTGTCCTCAAACCAATCTCTCTGTTTTCAAACTTCTCTCTCTCTCTCCTATTTTCTTGCATGGAATTCTCTCTTCCATTGGTTCAAAACTTGCATTTCCTTAAGGTAAGATGAAAAATGGCAACCACAGTTTCATGAAAACAAACAATGGTTTTCATGTTCTTTGCCTAAAGCTTTGATCAGTTCATGGGGCCGATTTACAATCCAATAAATATATCTTTTTCAAAACAAAAATTAAAAAGAGATTATTTTTTCCAGAAGAAGAAGAAAAACAATAATGTTGAAGAACATGGCTAATACTCAAGAACATCAGCTTTCTATTGTACATATCTTATTTTCTCACACTTCTTTTTGAGCATGTATCCACCTTGTTTACACTAATGTTGTTTTTGCCTTGTTTATGAGTTAGTAATTAATTTGTTATAATTATGGTATAATATTACCAGACAAGATTCAACTTAATTCTATTAACATGGGGGGTTGAGAGTTGAATGCTGTTTTTTCTCTTCTTTTTTATTATATAGTCCGCCTTTTCCTCTTATAACGGTTTGAGATCTTGAACTAGATCATTAAATTATTTTTTTTTGTTTTCTTTCAATTTTTTTTTGCTGAATTTTAACTTTACATTTATAGTGGTTTTACTCCAAATCAGATTCTTATTTTTCTTTTTTCGAGTTACTTAAAAATATTACTATGTAGATCACCCCTAGCAATGTTAGTCCCTCTTCCAAATTATTTCCATTTTGAATTATAATGGAATATTTAGCTTTTCAAGTGTATTGCTTAAGTTTTCCTACAATGTAAAATGATTCTTTCTTTGGTTCCTAGGCAGACTTGGAGGAGATGAACTTTATTGCAATGGAGCACTTCACATGCTAATAATAATGGGATATTAGTGCTACTAAAGTTCCCATTGTTTGTCTGAATTTGGAGTATTTTAACTCAATCTTGCACCAAAGGTCACATGCCATGAACTTCCATATTCTTTGCTTTTTTGCTATCCAATTCTTGTTTTCATTTGCATACCATTTTCAGATCCCATATGTCACATGAAGCACAAGTTCATGTATTTTTTCATGTTTGGAAATTAGGTTCCAATGACACGATGCTTATTCTCTTGATATATAATTCGTGTTTTTTAGATTGTCATGTGACCAGAGGTCACGACTTCGAGCCGTAAAAATAGCCTCTTGTAAAAATGCAGGGTAAAGCTTCGTACGTAGAATTGACCCTTGTGGTCTGACCCTTCCTTGGATCCCGCACATAGCGGGAGCTTAGTGCACCGGACTGCCATTTTAGATTGTCTTTAGATGCAAATAATTTTAGGAGGAGTGTTAGGCATCTCTCGTATTCTGTTACCTCGGAAATAGCACACCATTCATGTATTTTAGTCGGGAAAAGATGATTACTAACTAACATACGTAAGAGTTTTGATTCTATTCTATCAAGAAAAAAGATAGAAGAAAGATGCTGCAAATTAGGGTCCTTTTTAGGTTTTAGTAAAGAAAAATGAGATGTAAAATTGTGACAGAGTCTTTAATTGTTTTTTTTTCTCGCAGGAAGAGATGTCGAGCCCTCTCAGTGATCAAATTCTGAATTTCTGTGAGTCTGAGTTGTTTCCAAATGTACAGAATTCAGAAGTTGCTTCTAGCTCAAATTGTTGCAGCTATGAGGAACAGAGTTCATATTCAACCAATCTTGACATGAACAAATTCAATAACACTATTGAGAAGAATGAAGAAACCAACATCACCACAGTTACATCTAATATTAGCCCTTCACGAACCAACAACAACAACAACAACAACAACAACGACAACAACAACATTAACAACAACGCTCTCTCAATAATATTTGATTCTCAAGAAGATCAAATTGAGAATGATATTTCAGCTTCAATTGAGTTCACACAAGACGCGAACTTCTCAATCCCTCATCATTTACTTAATCCTCAACAAGAACTATTCGACATTAATTCTCTCAACAATCAACATATCAAAGTAACCGATGTTTCTCAGTATCCTCCTGATCATCCTCCACCTATTGTTCCACTTATGGGACCTCCATTAGGACATATATATGAAGACGAATCTTTGTCATCAGTTCCTTCTTACATGCGCGTTCCTACTACTTCTTCTTCTCCTTCTTGTCCTCTTCTTGATCCTACGCTCGCAAACTACTTACCTTTAAACTCAAATCCCACCATGCCTGTTGCTGAATCTTCAGCAATACTTGCTGCTGCCACTACAGGAGGTGGCTTGTTTTTCGGTGCTGAGTTTCCACAAGTACAAGAATTGGAATATCAAGGAGACAATGGTAGATTATTCTGCCCTGATGCCTTGCCAAGAGTTTATAACTGCTCTAATGAGCTTCAGGTACTGTTATAGTGAGTTAAGTTAATACGATAAAAGATAGTTCTAACGTTGAAGCTAGCTCTAGCTTTTGTTATAGTTATATTTACGGGTGTACATGGACCGAGTTAGTTCGGGTTTTATCAAAACCAAATCAAACCAACTATATCGGTTTGGATTGATTCGGTTTTGTCGGATTTTTCGGGTTTTTCGGGTTTTTTGTTACTTAAATATTCTTTCAATCTTACTTTATTAAATTTTTGATAAATAAATATATGTTTAGTAAAAATATAAAAAAATTGACAAATATATTACCTATTAAAATATTCTTATAAGAAAATTTTCTTAGTAACACATAATAGTTATTTTTTTAATCGCCTGACAATAATATTTCGTTGATGCAAACTTTTAAGGTTAACCGAATTTAGTAATTAAACATAAAAATCAATATGATAGCTAAATAATAATTATCACTTCACATCCGAAAAGATATAACAATTTAATAGATCTTAACATGCGATATGAATATAGAAGAACAAACAGATTGACGCATTTCAGTAATACTTGATGAGAAAGTGATCATACAACCCATTATTTAAGGTTAATAAATATGGAGCACTTCATATACTATTAAATATTATATCCCGCAAGAGAATCCCAAATATTTCTAAACATTTTTTAAAGAAAATTCTATATAAAATCTTCAAAGTATATATAAAAATTATATATTTATATGTCGGTTTGGTTCGGGTTTTTTTACTCAATACCAAATCAAATCAAACCAAACCTAGTCGAGTTTTTTAATCGGTTTGGTTTGACTTTTCGGTTTGGTGCGGTTTTCCGGTTCGGTTTGTACACCCCTTGTTATATTCAATGTTATAAAGTTTTTGTTATAAATTTTAATCGTGCAGGCACTCAGCAATGAGAGTCAACATTTGGTTAGTGCTACCGGATGTTCTAACCCGTTGGCATCAGATATAACAAATTTGGATGATCCTTCCTTCAGTAATAATGTTGTCAAATGCTCTCCTGAGGAGAGGAGGGAGAAGATTAATAGATACATGAAGAAACGAAACGAAAGGAATTTCAGCAAGAAAATCAAGGTCTGCATCTTCTTTTATAAGACTGACAATATATATATAAGTTCTTTACACCATCAAGAACGGGTCACTTTTCATATCAAGTTTGTTATGGTAACCTTGAAAATAAAGTAAGAATTTGCTATAATCAGTTACATAGTGCTGATAGATAAATTATTCTTCTTACTGTCAGTGTATATAACTTAATCAGCATTTGCTAACGAGTCTGATTTTTGGATCCAAATTTTGCAGTATGCATGCAGGAAAACATTAGCAGACAGTAGGCCAAGGGTGAGAGGAAGATTTGCAAAGAATGATGAATTTGGGGAAGCTAATAAGACAACTTCTTGTGGTACACATGAAGATGACACAAAAGAAGATGTAAAACTCAATCATTTATACCATCATGATCCTAATATGATTACTTCTTCAGGACATGATAATAATGGTCGGATTTTCACTTCCAATTGCCACTCATCTAACAGTCCTTATGATATTTGCCCCCCTCTGTATTGCACAGATGGCCAGTTGCACTAATGAATTCCTCAGCTGAACAAGTACTCTCCAAAAACTATCTTTAATCTGCTTTTTTTTGTTTCCTTTTGCAGTCAGACTTTTCTATAATAACATCCCTATATAATAACCATTCACTATAGAGCCGGGTTTTTTCTGACAATCGATTTTTTATGTTATGTTATAACATGTCCTTTATAACAAGAGATTGTTACATAAATAACCNATATATATATATTATACATGAATTATATACATAGTATAACATCAGCCGGCTATTTCTATTTAAGAGATTAAGCGAGCGGCTATTGGGTTAATTCTTCTTATAACAACATCACTTCACTATAGCAATAAAAATATATCAGAATAAATGTAGCTGTTATAGAGAAATTTGACTGTATAAGTTGTAATTCCATTGTCTTTTGCTAACGAGTTATATTTTTTTGGTTGAAGTTAGGTCTGGTGGTGAAAAAAATCAAGATGGAACTGGTGAAGTTATAGGATATCATTGCACATACCCATTGGTGTAAATAACTTCAATAATTAGCAAATACTTCAACCACCAATCTTGGGTTTCATCAGGCAGCTTTAATTTGTGTAGTTTTCAAACAGCAATTTAGTATAATGTGGGTCATTTCAACATTGAAGTCTAGTAATAATTCAATGAATATCATAGTGAAGAGATGTAAATTTTGTAAATCTGTACTATCACAAGTTGCATTCTTGTCAAATCACTTGCATTTTTATTAGCTTTGATGAGTTGCCAACTTGGATAAAGTTGTGTTTGTACTTGTTCTAGTCATGTTAATTATATGTATACTTTCTCTTACAATATATATAAGAACTGAAATGATCCGCAGTCCTTGCTTTAGAAATATCTTATCTAATTGAGCTGTTAATTATATATATAGTAACGCCAAGTTGTCGAAGATCTATCAGAAACAATCTTTCTATCTTCACAAAGTAAGAATAACGTCTGCATACAAACTACCAAAATGGAACAACCTTTCTATCTTCACAAAGTAAGAATAACATCTACATACAAACTACCAAAATTACCGAGGATTTATCGAAAACAAATTCTCTACCTTCACAAGGTAAGAGTAAAATTTGCATGCACACTATCCTCTCCGACCCTACTTGTCTTATTGTCGTGAGTGGGTCTGTCATCCTCCTCATTATAGTCCTCCTAGAATCCAAAGCATTTCGCCGAAATACATCCTGTCTTTTCACCTTAATAGTCGTATTTGTTGAAGTTTGGCAAATTCTTTGTCCCACATCGGTGGGCTCTTGAGTTTGGGGGGGATTTTCCCCCTATAAAAGAAGGCCTAATGTTTAGGATTTAAACACACCTCTCATTTGCCTTCTCATCTATTTAAGGCATTTGTATCTTCTCTCTTTAGTATTATTTCACTTGTATTTTTGGAGTGGAATAAAATATTGGTTGTGTCCGAGGAGTAGGCAAAATTAGCCGAACCTCGTAAATTCTGGTGTTCCCTTTATTGTTGCTTTATTGTCTTATTTATTATTTGGTGGCTGTCATAATTTT